CTGCCCCTGATAATGATTTCTAATAACGGACCGTTGACTTCGTACACTTCAAGACGTTTCGCTGACATCAGCGAGAGGCGCCATTTTTAGCACAGAGTTACAACTAATCTCTTAGAGATTTATTCAACCTATTCCGTTTAAGGTGATGAAGGACTAGTAGTATAATTTTCCTACAATTATATGAGTAGAGCTGACCCTCCCATTGAAGTTAATATAGCTTTGCTTTCCCAAAAGTCGTTTACATCCAAATGGGACTGCAGTTTCGAACCGTGACTTTGCATAATGTGAGCTTGACACATTAATCCCTCGGCCTTCATCACCTTAGATGAAATAGCTTAAATACATATCATATTACTGATTTACTGATAGTCTCGAAACTCTACTAACATACGAAAAATAAGTAACATAGTCGATTGTTATGGCAAATATACGTTAGCTTCATCAACAATCCCAACAAAGATTGTGATATGGGAAAATTAAACTCTGGCTATTTCGAGATATTTACAACCTAAATAAGAATATCTTACGAAATGTTTTTCTCTTTAAGTAGAGAAAAATTTAACTCTTGCTTCGGAATAATAAGTGCACATCGTCATTTGGTTTATTAGGTAACTCCAATATAGAAGCCGCATTATTAGAACGGAGTGGCTGAATTTTGCGCTGTCGCTACTTCCATACTGATGCAATTTTACCTCAAATGAAATAGGATTAATTTTTCGTTAATAAGTAGGGTTCCGAGACTAAGTTTAATACGTTTCTTATTCAAGATCTACTAGTAGTCTCAAAAACATAATTATAAACAAAAATAAACCGATACAGTATGACAACAGAACGAGAGAATAGCAGAAATAATGGCTCCTCAGTTCTCATAAACAATAAAACGAATTACGAGATAAACTCATTATATACAACCTAAGTCAGAACGGTAGTGAATGCTTGTGAGCCAGTAAGGCTTACAGGGTAAAGTTATAACTAGCAAAGGATAAGATAAGATATGATTTGCATCGTTGTCAATTGAAAAAAGAATATAAATGGACCGCACTCTTAGGTTTGTAACTAAGAGTCGATAAGAAACAAAAGTAGCAGTAGGAATATATAAAAAAATCCAAGCGTAACTTTTCAAAGAATATGAAGGTGTGGCACAAAACAGGAGAAAATAAAAGTCTTTATGATAGCCGATTCTACAAATGAATAGCAAGCAAAAACTGCAGATAGAGAGAAGCTAATAAACCACATACACGAAATACTATACAAACTAAAGCTCTTACATTAGCAAATTGTCCCTCAGAAACCCCGTCGCGATAATAAAGAATGCGAGTGGGTTTAAAGCGAGTCGACCGATAGAATTGAAGCAGAAGATCGCGCACCATGCCAGCCAAATCGTGGATTACCTCTTGACGATGTGACTGGACACGCACAGTTGCCGAGTACCTACTCGGATGTGCATCCATGCTCGCAACAACTGCCGCAATGCTCGGTTTAGATCTGTCGCCTGTCCCAGACCAGGAGAGAAGAGCAGAGAGCAAACAATGATACATCGAAAAAATAGATTGAACAAATAAAAGATTCAGGAACGATAAGTAGGATTGAAGGGGAAAATGTAAATAGGATTCATTAATAGTAAGGAATGGAATATATAAAAAAGGACGCCAAGCAACTATCGGTAGTTTACAAGCATAAGTAAGACGAAGAAGGTAGACAACTAACCAGCTGGCGGATGTGTAACGTCTGCGCCGAGGAAGATGATGGGCTCCCTAAAGACGGCGGGGCGGACGCTGGGAACTAGAATTGAGTTGACACCGCCCAGCTTGACATTGATTTTCAGACAAAGATTAGATAAAGTCTGTGGCGATGTCTTGTTGACATTCTTAGACTGAACGCATTGGGTAGCCAGGCCGAACATGATATCGCCGACACGCTTTACTTCAGCTTTAGGAATGGAAGCAAGAGATAATTTATACGAGATCATAGGTGAGCAATCAACTATTTGTGTATTATATATGCTTGCCAGGATTTGGCGTTAGCAGTAAAGTGAGTGGCACCTCGATTACATCATAAATGCCTGACTGCAGTATGATAAAAAATATTCAGGCTAAAAATTATCATTACTACGGTATGTTTCACGAGGTCATCTTGTTGCCCCAACTGAGTTGCGAGAACAAGGTAAGACCAACGGTATACCGTTTATTGTTAGGACGTAAAATCCCTTGATATCATTATTGACTCACTATAAGATTTATTATGAAAAAGATGAGATTTACAAAACATCCAAAGTGAGAACAGACCAATGGATTATAAAATTTGCATACAGAAAATAAATTTAAAGAACTTACGGGCAAGGCATATGCGAAATCCACAAATTTGACCCATTAAGGAGACGCTATCAACAATAATCAGTCTAAATATACTATAAAAATTCAAATCTTTGGCGTTTACAGATAGAACATGGACACAGATGTCAAGGCTCTACATTAAAATTCAATGAAATTGAGCCGAAATTATTCAACTCCTTTTTGACGAGTTATATTTGGGGACCTGTCCTGAAACCGATGAGAGATAAAAGATCGGAGTAGCTTGTGCCGAAGTTGAAGAAGGATCGGATGAAAAACTAGTTGATTTGACAAACGCTGTGGTAGCACCGTCTTCATTACATGGGAATCCATCCAACTTGTACTATCGCAGATTTAAGAGGCGCCTACAGGCGTACATATACGAGGTACATGTTAGGTAAGGCGTGGAAAAATCCGAGTTTGATATCCAAAAAAGTAGGTGACAAGGTTGATGATACAATACTGTCACAGTGATGGGGTCCACATTGTATATAGGACTTTTTAAATACTGACTCCGAGGCAAACCAAGTAAGCAGGAGAGCACAGTAATAGCAGGGCGCGATGGAGAGGGCCAGACGCCACAAGGGAGATAGGGCCCTGGAGAAGTCGCTGAGTCAGAAGATCCTGCTTAAACTCCTGTGATTTGAATGCAGGTTTCTGATTGGCGCGAAAGATCTCGACAGGATAGATATAAAGTGACGCTTGCTACAATGGCGAAATTTGGTCGGTTTACATGAATTAGATATATTTACGAGTAGTCTTTGTGTAAAATTGTGATGTAATGTAATGTAATGAAATTAAGCAATGTAATGAGAAAGAGTAGAGTCCATAATATTTTTGAGTTAAATAATTTTTAAAGAAGAGTATTATAGAAACATCAAATTCGCAATTAGATATCTTAGGCGAAAACGACTAGCAGTATCCAACCAAAAAAATCAATACATTAATGAACTTATGAAAGGAGAATAGTTTCGCAATCTATAAAATACCGTAGCAGCGTATAACTAATCTATAAAAGATAATTTGGCCGAATAAATTAATAAAA